AGGTAACAAACAACATAAAATGGGAAGAGGAAAAGGACAGAAACCATACAGGCAAATGAAGATAGATGCTGTCAGCAGAAAACGGACTATTTTATCTATGAGACATTTTATACAAAAAGTGATCTGGAATCTTGCTATTCTAAATGTGGTCTGTGGTGGCAGCATGGGCATCTTGGGTTGCTTGTCAGGATTGCAGAGTCTCAGGCACCGTCCAGGGCTACCAGATTAGAATCTGCATTTTCATCACATCCCCAGGGATGTGCATGCGCTGGGAGACACCGATCTAGAACTGACCGTGCAGTTCTTTTCTTTTTCTTAGTGGGAGACTTAGCTGCTAAAATAGTTAAACCCTCCAGCTGTTTATCTATTTGTGTTTTCCTGTATTTGTCTTTTTGTTCACCTTAGATTTTTAGGTGAACTTCAGAGGAGACTGTTGTAAGTCTTGTGAACGATGGAGAGTAGCTGGGGGAGGCAGCTGGAGCTGCAGGGTCACCGAAGTCACCTGGAGGAGGCAGCGTGTGGCCGAGTGAGCCCGGCCTGCTGCGGCCTGGAGAGAACATTTGGAGCGGAGGGGCAACACGTGCAGAGGCAGGAAGGCAGGAAAGGGCATGTGTGAGTGGGAGTGCTGTGGTGAACTTGCAAGAGGACATTGGGCCTTGCCACAGGGTCTGGGCCTGTCCCTTTGCTGCTGTGTGAGGTGTTCCGCTGTGCTGCCTCTGCTGTCAGCTCCTGAAAGTTTCCCATTACTCTAATGCCCTTCCCTTCAGCTCTCCCAGACTCCCCTACCATCCTCACCTTGTTTAGCCTTTGCCAAGATGTGTTTTGGTATATTCTGTGCCGGGGGCCTCCTAGACAGCCTTTAAACTTCATTTCAAGCTCTCTGTGAGACCTGCACGCCTTCCAGCAGACTTGTCTCCATAGCTGGGGTCCTCCTTGCCCCTTACGTATATCTTACATTGTGCTAAAATTGATTACAAACGTAACGTTCTACCATGTTGATGTGTGCAGCCTATTCATTTTCACTGTTGTGTAATATTCCATGTATGGAGATAATCGTACTGTTGAATGTTTTTAAGGTATTGTCAATCTTTTTAGAAATCATGCTGCTATAAATATTCTGGTTACATGGCTTCTTGAGTATATATATATATATATATATATATATATGAGGTTTTTTTAAATAACTTGATTTATTTTTGGCTGTGTTGGGTCTTTGTTGCTGCGCACAGGCTTTCTGTAGTTGTGGTGAGCGGGGGCTACTCTTCAATGCAGTGCGCGGGCTTCTCATTGCGGTGGCTTCCCTTGTTGCGGAGCACAGGCTCTAGGTGCGTGAGTTTCAATAGTTGCGGCACGTGGGCTCAGTAGTTGTGGTGCACAGAATCAGTAGTTGTGGCTCGCAGGCTCAGTAGTGTGGCTCGCGGGCTCTAGAGTTGTGGTGCACGGGCTTTGTTGCTCTGTGGCATGTGGGATCTTCCCGGACCAGGGCTGAAACCTGTGTTCCCTGCATTGGCAGGCAGATTCTTAACTGCTGTGCTACCAGGGAGGTCCCGAATATATGTTTGAGTTTGTTTGTAGTGTTTTCAGTTTTATTTGACTGTGATCCAGAGAAACAACACTTTATAATGTGACCTGATTTCTGTATATATATATATATGTATGTCAGCTGATTTTTTAAAAAAGTTTAACAAAGTTATACTTACCCTTTGTGTGATGCACTCATATCTTTTTTTCTTCTAAAAGTGAATACTTGCTGAGATTAAATTAATGAATTATGCCCTGCTGTTTAAAATATTGCTGTAGGGTATGTTGTGTATGTGTGAATGTATATGTGTACAAAGATGTGTCATATCATGACTATAAATTGATAAACATATATGTATGTGTGTCAGCATGTGTGTGTGTGTGTGTGAGAGAGAGAGAGAGAGAGAGAGAGAGAGAGAGAGAGAGAGAGCAGATTGTCTGGTGGAAGGGTTTATTCATTTAGAACTTGATTACATTTCACCAAATTGTTTTTTAAATGGTTATACCTGTTTATATTGGTGTGGCCTCCCGAGTCTGGGAGCTTAACTTTTTATCATATGTCTATGGTCTTTTAAAGCATTTACTTAGCACAGAATTGGTAAGTACTCATTGGGTAGTTTGGTGAAAGAAGATGAGGATTTCATACCTGTAACTGCATGACTACCATGTTAAGCAAGTACTGTTTTATCAAGCCAGCTTTTTACTTAAGCTCACAAGGCTAATTTTATAGAGTGGATAACCCATTTGTAATTTCGGTTAGGCTTTTAAAAGTCTATTTTTAGGGGTTCTTGACTATATTGTTCAGTTATGATAGTTATGTTCCAAAGAAAGATACATTGACAAAATTACATTATTATTTCAATTGGTAAAAAGTGATTGGGGCTAAAGTTTCCCATAAGTGATAACAAGTTTTTTTTTTCCCCTTGCAGGAATCAATAAAATGGTTTTCATAGCCTTAAATTCGTAAGACCTAATCATTATCTAACATTTAATTATATCTAGCTTTTGCTCAATAGTAATATAGCCATTTAAAAATTTTTGCTAGCATTATTCTTGTGCAAGGTTTTTTTACATTAAAGTCCCTTTCTTTTGTTGTTATAAAAATGCACCACTGTATTGGGTGCTACAGCTTTTTACCTGCATGGACAGTCATATCCCATTATGCAAGTTCATTCAGCCATAGCGTTCACATCAGGAAAATCGTGCTGTATAGAAAAGTCTCCATTTGTATTTGGCTGAGGTTGTAGCAGATTATTCTGAGGGGAATCATTCTGTTTTAATAACAAGCCCCACTTGGAGTGTGTTGAAAATCTTTGTTTTCTCCTCATGCTCTGGACCCACTGCCTGAGAGGGAAAGTTAAGATACAGTTGTTTTACAGACCAATGTAGGAACTTCTCTAGAGAAAGAAAGGTATTGTATTTTGATTATCAAAAATTTCTTAACATGACAGTAACTTGCACTTAAGTAGTACTTTAAAACTTTAAAAATGTTTTCCATACGTGTCTCACCTAAGTACTGAGGGCAGCCATTCTAACTCCATCTAACAGATGGGAACCTGGTAGCTCAGTTTGTTTCTAGTCCAGGGTAATTTATGCAGCTCAGAGGTGGCCGAGTACACGGGCAGTGCTGGTCTGTTGACCCGCTAACTCATTTTGACACTCTCGACGGTCAAACATATTTAAATAGAGCGTGTCCCAGATGTTTGTCAGCTTATAGGTGTCACTTCTCAAATTTAAAAGCAGGATATTGTGGCATAAATTGTATATGCGTGACCTCCCTCCTCAGGAATTTTGGGGGAATGTGTTTAGTTTTACTGGGTTGAAATTATTGGCCTCAGTGGTGTTTTGTAGATTCACTCTCACCTTTAGGTAAAAAGTATGTACTTAAACAGAAACCTAAATTTTTAAAAAAGCTTTTTTTTTTTTTAAATGTATTTATTTATTTATGACTGTGTTGGGTCTTTGTTTCTGTGCGTGGGCTTTCTCTAGTTGTGGCAAGCGGGGGCCACTCTTCATCGCGGTGCGCAGACCTCTGTCACTATGGCGGCCTCTCTTGTTGCGGAGCACAGGCTTCAGACGCGCAGGCTCAGTAATTGTGGCTCACAGGCCCAGTTGCTCTGTGGCATGTGGGATCTTCCCAGACCAGGGCTTGAACCTGTGTCCCCTGCATTGGCAGGCAGATTCTGAACCACTGCGCCACCAGGGAAGCCCAAAAAAAGCTTGGTTTTTATTGATAACCTCTTACTGTATTTTTTTTCATTATCAAGTGATTTATAGAAATCTGTTATATATAAGCTTCTGAACATTTGATATAATTTCCGGATAGTACTTTTATCTTCCATTTTACTTTCATTGTACAAGCAATATGTGAAGATAATCATAAGAGCATTTAAAATTATCAGGAAATAATACATTCAAAGATATGAAGAATAGTACAGCTGAGGCTTGTATTCTTGTATACTTAGGTGAGTTTCCCTACAGTGTTTTTCAGAGTTTTTTGACCATGACCCAAAGAGCTAACATTTTATAACACACCTTAGTTCATCTATAACTTTTCTTAATCTCAGGGTTCTATCTGAGATTTATTCATGTTGATACAAGGCTTCTTGAGGCAGTCCTTGTTGTTTCTCATCCTACAATTAGTATTAATGGATTAAAAAATTCCCCCCCCCCCCAGTGTGTTGATTGCAAAATGGAAGTTGTAGTTTTCAAGGGCATTTCCTCCTAATTACCAGTGAGGGTTTTTAAGTGTTTATTGGCCATACATTTCTTCTGAATTACTCATTCGTATCTTTTTGTCCATTTTTCTGTTTAGGTTGGTTGTCTGTTTCCTACTAATTTCTGTTTCATTTTTTAAAACCTCTTTGATTTTTACTTGTTGGTAATCTTTTAAGCAATACCCTACACGTTTAATAAAGGACTTACTTTTTACTGTGGGATATTTCTACTCCTGGTTCAAATATGGTGAGTGAGTAAACTGTTCACATAAAGTAGTTTTAAATTCTTAGACAGATTTGGGGGGAAGCTGCTAGGAAAGGAAAATTAGTAAACTCATTAAGGTTCTTGAAGGTTGATTTATAACCTTTCAGCACAGCCAAGACACACATCTTCTTAGCAAGCTGCTGCTGTGCCATTTGAAAATTTGAACGTGTGAATTCTGTAACCCTCCATTAATTACGATTGTAAAAAGAACCACAATGCTTCTTATATTTTATTTTATTTTATTTATTTACTTTTTGCGGTACGCGGGTCTCTCACTGTTGTGGCCTCTCCCGTTGTGGAGCACAGGCTCTGGACGCGCAGGCTCAGAGGCCATGGCTCACGGGCCCAGCCGCTCCGTGGCATGTGGGATCTTCCCGGACTGGGGCACGAACCCACGTTCCCTGCAAAGGCAGGCGGACTCCCAACCACTGCGCCACCAGGGAAGCCCTATTTTATTTTTTAATACTAGCTTTTCTCTGTTTCTTCTCTGTGATTAGGTCCTCGATGGGCTTCCTGGAATATTGGTGTGTTTATTTGCATCAGATGTGCTGGCATCCATAGGAATCTTGGGGTTCATATATCCAGGGTCAAGTCAGTCAACCTAGACCAATGGACACCGGAACAGATCCAGGTAAACATTTCCCTACTGAGAAATTATTGAAAATATTTAAAATGGATTTATAATCTTTAATCCTTCTTGCACCTAAGGATTAACATTGAAAAGTAGTATATTGAAATATGGAATATGCCACATACAAAATTCGAGTGTTATCTGAATTGTCAGTTCACAGATGTGTATTTTTTCTTGGTTCTATAGTAAAGTCAGTTTTTTATCTATTTTTACCTAAAATGTTGATTTTGAAGTATTTAAAAAATTTCTTTTCCTTGTGCTGATGAAATTTGCAGGTATAATTCCATAGTCTGTTTTGCTTTGCTGTCAGTAGAGGGCGCCTGGGTAAAGACAAAGAACAGACCACCTCTTCCTGAGCGCTAACTGGAAGGCCTTCCCTTCTGTGCAGGGGTGGGTGTTTTCCATAGGCAGATAGGGCCGAGGGGTCGGAAGACAGCCCAGTTAGCAAATGTTCTCGTGACTGATTTGGGCTTGTTTTGAGCAGTTTAGCTTTTTAGAGAGAAATTTGTAATTTTAAGGGCTTGCCCTTTTTCCAGTGTGACAGTATTAAATCCTCAAAATCATACTTGCTAGTTCTTAAGGTTAATTGCTAATGTAAAAATGATTATTTCTACTGGTTTTATTTTATAGTTCACAGTGAAATTACATAACTTTTTCTTACGACCTTTTCAAATTACTTTAGTCAGCATGAAGCCTAAATATACAGATATATGTAGTTGAACTTCATGATACACACACAAACCTCACAATCGTAAAGGAACAAAAATAACACAAAAATTGGCATGGGTTGGGTGGGGTGGGGTGGGGTGAGGGTGGAAAGAATAGGATAGAATGCTGGGAGGGTGTGGTGATTAAAAAATGATACATAGACTTGGTTAAAGAAAGTAAAATTTCTATACTGAAGACATATTTATGCCAAAGTAAGTTCCAGATGTAGCAAAGATTTAAATATTAAAAAAAATTAAACCTCAAAAATACTCAAAGAAAAAAAAATAGAATAGAGATTTTTCAGGCCATAAAATCAAGCATAATTTACTTAGTTTAGTCTTAGACTAGTTTTTGAACATTTTGCTGGCTAGAGCATAAAAGGAAATATGAAACTTTGTGTATTTTCGAGATCCTTGAGGATAAATTTTACTTGTTAATCAAGGAAGCAGAGCTTTTTGAACATTTTATATGAGGCAGTGTTCTTAGTAACATCTCTGTAGTAACTGTGGTGACAGATTTCATGACATTGTTTAAGTTGTTTTTAAGAAAACATGTAGCTTGAAAATGTAGCTTGGTGTTTGTAATGGATTATGGAGGTACAAAACATTCAAGACCCAGTGTATTGCCTTTTTAATGGTTCATTTCAGACTAAGGAGAAAACGTGAAATCCCTGGACAGTTAAATTCTCCAGAAATATTATTTTTCTCAATTAAGCTGCTGAAAGGAGTTGAGTAGCAGGTTATTTGAAGTAGGCAGCTGTTCTTTTTTAATAGTTTAGAGCATAACTTCCCAAACAGAGGGCTGTAGTTCACTGGTTTTCTGTGGGATTGGTTATAGGTACAAAGCAAGATCCTATGTTATTAAATGTGTAAGGATTTTGAAAGCAATTATTAAGTAACATACAGTCTTTGAAATGGTATTTGAACACATTTGCATGGTTCCAACTGTCAGCTTCTTCAGATAAGAATTACTGTTTTCGAATGCAAGATTTTTGATGGGTACTTCTCACAGAGGATGCTCTGTGTGGCTCCGTAAGCCGTGGGGCTGCTCCTGCAGGTGAGGAGGGTAAAGGTAGGTGCACTCCTGCAAAATCAAATTGAGGAGACAATGAAATTTCACTTTAAAGAAGAGCAGGGAAGCCTAACCACACGGACAGATCTTGTGGGGGGCTTGTCGGCACTTGCAGGCAAAGCCAGAGTTGTTCTTCGGAAACTGGCCCTGGACTGCTGTGCGGTGAAGAGGAAGAAGCGGTTGGCCAAGACCCCAGGCTCCACACTGCGGAGCACAGGGGTTGTTTTAAGGCCGCTGGTTCCAGAGAGGCCGCAGAGCAAAGTGATTGAGAAAGTTGTCTCTGGAGCCAGATGGCCAGGTAGGCCTGGGCGGTGTCCGAGCTCAAGTGCCTGAGCGCCCTTGTCTGCGAGGTGGGGTGGCAACTGTCCCCCTGCAGGGGCCATGAGGACCAGCTAAGTTAGCGTGGGTAAAGCAGTTACAATGGTGCCTGGTATGCTTTTTATTGAGGTATAGTTGATTTACAGTGTTGTGCTGCTCTTTTTAGACGGGCATGTCTTGAACACTCAGTAACGCCGACTTGTCAGTTACCAGTAGGATTAGTCCATCTGTTCACTGTGCAGACCCTCTGCTGTTGCTGCTCTGAGTATCTTTCTGATCTTAAGCAATTAGCTTCCCTAGTGAATCTGCTGTGATGAATTGGTTGCTAAATGTACTACTGAGTAAACAAACAAATGGACCCATTGTGTGGTATTACTGAGTATAGAAGAATTACTTTTTGAGAATATTTGTGAGAAGTAATTCGCGTTTAGTGGTATTGGATGGTAAGGCATTCAGAGATGAGTGGTTAGGTAGTGGCATCCATTGTCTATTGAGGTCACTCCTTATTCAGCTTTAAGCAGGTCCTATTTCCTGTGGTGGTAGGTGTGTTCCTTACAATCCAATTCTATCCACCTTGGCATTATTTATTTATTTACGTAGGAAAAAAAAAAGAGGTATAATTACAGAGAGAATCCAGATAAAAGTGAGTTTTACGTACCTTGGCAGATGTCTTTATAGTCGTCCACCCGTATCCTCGGGAGGTTGGTGCTAGGACCCCCACGGACACCGAAATCCGTGGACACTCAAGTCCTTTACCTGAAATGGTGGAGTTCCTGGACACGGGGCCGCGCATGGGCAGAGCTGACTGTGTGCGTCAGCAGAATCCTGGTACAGATACTCTGAGCGCGTCCATCACTAGGGAGAGGTTCCTTGTGTCCACTTCTAGTCAGGACCCTCCAGGGGCAGCCGCTGCACTGATTTCTGTTCCCTTAGGTTGCTGTGCATTGGAACTTTTGTCTTTTGGAGTCTGTTCTTATTAACTCTGAGTCTAGGTTCAGATTGGGGAAAGTGAAGATTGCAGTGTGATTTAGTGTTCCATATCCTTACGATGTAAGAATTTATTTAGCATAGAAACTGCTTGGGCGATACTTGCTCACAGAGTAAGAGAAATGCTTTCACTGCATGTCGTCAGTTCTGCTCTGGGTCTTCCCCACCACCACCTGACATGTCATGGGGATCGTGTCTCTCATTTTCAAAGATGATACTTTGTTTTGGTTTTATTTATTTATTTTCTATATTTTATAAGTAAATGTGGAAACATCTAATCTCTGAGCCCCGCCACCCTGTTGAATAAAAGTGGTTTTTGTTAACATACTAAGTTTTGCCTCAGGACTTCTTGTCAACTGATATTATATATACATCATATTTATGTCAGTTATTTATATGTTTGTGTGGCAGTGTTTAGGGCATCTGTCATGTTATAGCTGTGTAAGTATTGCTGTATGCTTACTTTTAAAAGAAAATAATTTATCTACCAAAACTTATTTGTATTTTGATAGAATGGAAATAGAGTTATTCACCTTAAATTTTAATAAAATTTTTTTTAATAGTGGTTCATAGATTAAATGTCTTTGATCTTGGGTTTATTGTAGGGTACTTCTCAAATTTTTGGAAAGGATCAATGTTTCAATACTTTTATAAATACTATAGCTTTTCCTTTAAATTTTGTACTGGTTCATCAACTACACGTCTTGATTACCATTTTTCCCCATTATTTAAAAATTCTTAATTATTCATTTTCCAGTGTCTGTGTTGAAGGAGTTAAAATAAAGAATACAGTAAACAACAAGGTCATACTGCATAGCACAGGGAACTATATTCAATATCCTGCAAGAGACCATAGTGGAAAAGAACCTGAAAAAAATCACATATATATATGTATAACTGAGTCATTCACTTTGCTGTGCACCAGAGAGTAACACAACATTGTAAATCAGCTGTACTTCAATAAAAAAGGTAAATTAAAAAAAAGAAATGGGGATTAAAAAAAAGAGTAAAGTTTCTTAGCTCACTTTGTAGATAGTCGTGTAAATTGTGTTGTCCAATAAAACACCTTAGTGAGGTTTTGTCCATAGTGGAAAGTATACTACGTATATTTGGTGTTTAAATTGATAACTTTTGGACCACTTTTAATATTTTATGTATCTGTAAATCTTTTAGTAATTGTCTCTCACATGCTCTTTGTTTTACTACTTACTAGTGTCATTTATTGATAGGGTACTTGGGATTTGTTTGGAAATACGAAGATAACTAAAATGTATTCATGTATAAAATATATCCAGTCTCCCTAGGCATAGTGGACTTGCCTTCAACATTTTGTAGGCATTTTCCCTTCCATGTCTTTATAGCTTTACCATTTGTGCTTTAGCTTTGGACTACACTTTGGACTAGAAGGAGGGGTCTTTTGAACCCAGCTCTCCTCACATCATCCTTTACTGTTACAACAGAAGAACAGAAGCTCTCCTCTCATTTTCTGTCCACTCATCCTCTGAATGTTTCCGATCTGACTTCCAGCTGTTTGTTCTCTTGTTCTAGGGGCAGGGTGGAGGAAGGTGGTGGGTGCCGGTTTCGCTGCCTTTATTTTCATTCTCAGCCTTCCTTCCTGCTTTTCCACCTAATTAAAAAAAATGATGTTCATTTGGAGACATCTTTTTTCTTTTTTTTTTTGCAGTACGCGGGCCTCTCACTGTTGTGGCCTCTCCCGTTGCGGAGCACAGGCTCTGGACGCGCAGGCTCAGCGGCCATGGCTCACGGGCCCAGCCGCTCCGCGGCATGTGGGATCTTCCCGGACCGGGGCTCGAACCCGTGTCCCCTGCATCGGCAGGCGGACTCTCAACCACTGCACCACCAGGGAAGCCCCTGGAGACATCTTCAAACTCTTTCCTCCTCTTTGAAACACGCTG